GCGTAGGCATTGTGCTGGTTGTCATCGACGGCGACAATCATCACTTGCTTCTCCATCGTTTGAGAAAACCCAGAGCCTGGGTTTGCAAAGGTATCAAGCGTCCCCCCAATGCACAAAAATGAAACCTAATTTTTCAAGCAATTCATGTCAGAGTTTGATTAAGATACCACATTCCAAGAGATTCAAGACACACATAAAGTTTCAAATATTAACCAAAATCAAACAACTAAAATATAAACATGTTAACAGAAAAAAAAAAAAAAAACTGGAATTGAGAACAAAGGAAATGCGAAAAATGAAAAGAAAATTCAACTCTGAATATAAAACCCTCCTGTTGATATGGTTACTCAGACAACCAAGAACTGTAAAATTATACTAATTCAAGAGCAGGATTGAAAATACACTGTACATTTTCTCCTTTCATGCTTAAAAAACTCAATATCAAAAAGCTTCCATTTCTGTCACTTTTCCCAAGTTTTCTAGGCAACCAAACAAAACATTACATAAACAAATTTTCAAGAAAAATATCATATTAATTAACAGAAATGGAAGAAGCTTATTGAGCCGTAGACACTAAAAATCATGGTTTTAAGCTCCTTAGGCTCTGAAACTGCGACCATCCTCCTGTTTTAAATTAGGAAGACGAGAATCTCTTTAGCCTTCGCGGTCAGCTATTTTTTTTTTTTTTTTGCAATAGTCCCAGTAGCCGGCGGTGAGAAACTAACAGGTGGCAGTTTCCTCTAGGGCTACAGAAATTTGCGCCCCAATTCTGCAGGACCAAATTGAAGTAGCAGAACCGCAGCTTCCGTTTGAGAAAAACCCAGATCTGGGTTTGAGAGAAGAAGAAGAAGGCTGACAGCAATAGTAACAGAAGGTTTGGTGTGAACAATGATGAGCTTAAACAAGGCACTATCAACTAGAGATACGAAGAAGTGATCGAGTGTCCACTCCTGCGCGTAGCCGCTGTGCTGGTTGTCGTCGACGGCGATGATCATCACTTGCTTCTCCGTCGTTTGAGAAAACCCAAAGCCTGGGTTTGCAAAGGTATCGAGCATCCACTCCAGCGCGTAGGCACTATGCTCCTTGTCGTCGACGACAACGATCATCACTTGCTTCTTCGTCGTTTGAGAAAACCCAGAGCTTGGGTTTGCAAAGGTAAGGGAAAAGGAAAGGTAAAGGAGAGAGAAAATGAAAGAGGAAGAAGAAATCTGACGTGGCTGAAAATCAGAGGGGTCCATGACAAGTAAAAGGGAATAAAGAGTGCCACGGTGTGTGAAAAAGAGTGGGATCGGTACACATCAGCATCCAGCGTGTAAAAAAATGACACGTTGGCACGGGGTAATGGAGATAGTGACGATGATGACATCATCTGTTAAATAATGATCGATTTGGGTCAATCGATACTTTTAGGGGGCTAAATGTCCCTGCTTTTTTTTTAGGGGTGAATCCGTCCTTGCCCATATTTTTTAAGGGGCGATTTGAGGGTTTTGCCCCTAGAAAACACTTTTCAAGCGAGGCATGCTCATCAAATTCAATGTTGAACTCTATACTTGACTAGTGATGATGCAATTGTTTTGGTCTCCATTCTCTTATCATATGCCCATGAGTTCTAGCCTGACTATCCACCTTCCTTTGCCTTGATCTTTCAATCCTTTTTCTAGCCAAGAACTGCCTCTCTACCCCATCTTGATGTCCCTGTACAACTTCAGCATACGTTGGTCTCCTATCCACCTTATTGGTTTCTCATTGCTTCCTGTCCCAATCAAAGTAAGATTTATTGGGTGCTTCCTTGTCCCGATAATCCACTTTATTAAACCTGGGTTTATTTGCCTACCATTTATATTCTCCAATCTGTACATCATTTAATATTCTTTCAAGTTCACCTTCATTCCTCACATCCAAAAATCAAACAAAACCAAATCTTTTGCCCATTCTATCTCTCTTCTTTGGAAAATCAATCTCTAGTTCCCTTCCAAGACCTAGTTTGTTGAAAGTTTGCCACATCTACTCAAAAGACCAGTCCTCTGGGAAGTTGGTGAAGAGAAAAAGGAACCGCTTGATTGTAAATTTTCTTGTCATAGCCACCCACATCCTGTCAAGACCGTCCCCTATTTTGAAATTTGAAACTCTCACACTGCTATGCTGTCTGTTCCCTCTGTGCATCCTTCCGATCTCCCTTGCTCTTTCTCTCCCTCTCATCCTTGCTCTAAAAAGGAGAAAATTCTATGCAACCTAAATTTGCAACTAGTAGAAGATATTAAAGGGTCAAAAAATAAGGAACTACCAAAAAGAATGCAGCCAATGTTGAATATTCAACATACCTTTGATTTTATTATAGCCGCAAGTTTAACTAATCTGCTTACCTACAAGTTTGAATTATACACAAAAATGGTAGACTTATTTCCTTGTTCTAAAATTTTAGATGCGACAAAAGTTGTTGATTTATTTCTAGAAGAAGTGGTCAGACTACATTGTATTCCAACATCCATTGTTTGTTATAAGGGTGTAAAGTTTAAGGGACATTCATAGAGGACTTCAAGGAAGAAAACTACTCTAGATAAATATGCTAAATACAAGACTTTTGATTTGAAGGTAGCCTAATTTCCAACCTGAGGAGAATGATGTGGGAGCATGGAGTTCTTTTTAATGATTAGTTTTAGGGCAGTTTGTTTTGCATTAAGTTTGAGTTTTATTTGGAGTCTTAACTTTTAATTTTAGGAAAGTCATGTAGATAGCATGTTACTTTTAATTAGGATTAGAATTAGTAGTTTATTAGAAGTTCAAATTAGAATTGAATTAGGATTTTTGGTTATTGTTAATATATATAGTTATTCTTCTCATATCTCAAAAGCAGTTTTTGTTATAAGATTTTAGTTTAAGAATAAACTTGAGGTTTAAAAATAAACTTGAGGTTTAAAATCTAAGTTTTCTTAGTTCCATCTTTAATTTTACAAAATTTTTAGTTTTGTTTGTTCTATCCCTACCTTCCTTGCATTAGAGTTGCTCAAATGAAAGCCACAAGCTTAGACAAAATAATTAATTTTATAGGAACAACTACTTTTGATGATGGTGGTAGAGTTGTTGACTTCGTGGATGCATACAAAAGTGCAGGGCATATTTGTGAACTCCCAGATGATAGTTCCATTGATGGAGTTCATGTGAATGATTTGTCCTTTTTATCTCTTAACTCTTTTCATAGAGATGCTCTTGAAAGGGCAACATCACCAAATCTACCAAGCTATGTGAGTGATTCAAATGATGGGAATGGTATATTTACGTATTATAATCAATCCTTTTCTCACTCTATAATTTTAAAGCACTTAATATTGAACTAGTTTTTGCATTGATGATTTGTTTCTAGGTAATTAAATGTGTAGGTAATTTGATTTTGGTCTATCTATTACCATATGAGATGAGGTGAGTGCGATTGATACTTTTTGTTAAATTTAAATTTGATAGTACATATTTCTATGCTTTAATATGAAGTTAATAAATTTATTTGTAAACTTTCATAAATGAGAGACGTAAAACATCTTTTATCATTCTAGATAGTAGAAAAGTAGAAATTCCTAGATGCAATTAAAAGACTCTTTTTTGCGCATATTCAATAGTTTTATCTCTTCAATTGTAATTGGTTATATTTTCCTCTTTTTTTTTTGTATTTATTATTGTCTACCCACATAGAAGCTTGTGTCTAAATTTTCTTGTACCATATCATATAATCTCCATGGTAACCATTTAAGTGCATTTTCAAAAGCCTTGGCTTCTTTCACATCTTTTACCTTTCTATTCAGGTAAGAGTGTACCTTTTGGATATTGTAATGTATCTCAATGGGATTAGAAGATTCCAACCACCTTATTGGAGGGCTTCTTGTAATGTGTTAACATGATAATGTTTTTAGCTATTTTAGTAATTCAACGCTTGCGATTTTCAATTTCTCAGTTGAGTCTAGAAATAGTTTTTAGTTCTTCCTATTTAGGGGCACTCAACTTTGGTTGTAGTCTTTTAGAATTTTTCTATAACTACACTAATTAGCTATTGTCACATTTGCCAATTTAAGGGACATATTTTGGTTTCATTTGATTTTTCAGGTAATGATGGACAAACTTCAAATGAAATGCTTATTTAGTGGTTATACTAATGGTCTTAGTATTTACTATGAAGAATTCAATTATTTTGAATTTGTTCGTCTTCTTAGTGGACATTTGACCTCTTATTCAATTGGACCCAATTATATATTGGCCATTGGACTCATGCTGGTGAAAGTAATGGCTTTTGTTTGCATTCTTGGAGGTTCAGAAATCAGCATATGCATCATCTAAATTGTTTAATAAAGCATGGGTTTGATCTTATGATAAATGAAATAATGAAACATCAATAATTGTTTACCAAAGTTTAGTACCACCAACAAGAGTTTGGCTAAGTAGTGTTTATTAATTTAAAATTTTTAATTTGAAGTCATAGTTAGAATTATAAACTTAAAAATAATCAAAGTTTAGCATTCAAATGATTTTTATGGAGAATCAAATTAATTAATTTTGCCCTTATTTTGCCTAGAAGAAGTTACTGTCCAACGGTTATGTTTTTTCATTTTGCTCATGTGAGGTGTGAACCAAATGCAATGGCCCATCTTCTGGCTAAATCTGATTTTTAAATGAATATTTAAAAAATTTAAAAAATCATATTAAAAAAAGAAGTAGGATTCAGGATAAAAAAAAGAGAAATTGTTAATGCTGGATGTGCTTTTAGTGTTGACACTACGAAATATGTGTCGACACTATACCTGTGTCAGGTTTTTGCACTTTCTCCTATGGTAAACAATGAGCACTTTGATTCCATAACTTAAGCTTCATTCATCTAGGTCTCAAAAGGGAATCTTTTTCTTGCAATTCAGTCCTTCAACTTTTAAAATATATTCATTTAATACCAAAAGCTCCTATTATTATGCATTCAAATCTTTTTTTATACAAAGAATGAAAACTATGTAAAATCTATTAAAAATCACATATAATGCTTGAAAATAGTAATAAAATCAAGACTAATATAGTAGATTAAAGCATATAAAATGCTTTTCATCACTACCATTGCTTTTTATTAATTCCTTGGATTGAATTTAGTTGTTTCAATTTCATTTTTTGATAAACCTTTTAGCAAATAATTTTACATAATAAATAAATAATAATTAAAATTTTTCTTCCCGTACATAAATTTTGTTGAGTATTTTTACTTAAATCAAATAAGTTTATAATTATCATTCATTTATTATATAGAATTATTAAAATAATTTATATAAAATGAAGAATTTAACACAATTAAAATAAAAGACAAAAAGAAAGTAAAACATAATACAAATATTGTTTGAGAAAAAAAATTCTAATATGTCGTCTGCTTATATTAATTTCTATATATTAAAAATTACTTGTACCTCAAATAAAAAAACCATTACAATTATTTTTGGAATACTTAAATGTTCACATTACCAAATTTACATATGATGAAATTTGTTTATTAGTGGCAAATTTTTTGTTAGTCACAAATATTCACTTAATTTATAGTGACTAATATTGTCATTAGTAATTTATTTATTTTTTTAAATTCAATTGTCGATTAACTGTGATAAAAAATTTTGCTACATCTTGTTGTTTTCTTTAGTAACAACTTGCATATAGTTACAATATATATTTGTTACAAATAATAAATCTAGTCGAAAAAAAAAAAATAGTATCTGTGACCTAAATTTATCATTTGTAACTAACGTTTTACAAGTAACTAATAGTTATTTTATTATGACAATTTTGACAATCACAAATTTAAGGAGTTTGTTGTGACAAATTATTTTTTGTGACTGAATATAATTTTTATGTCAAAATTATATATTATAATTGTAAAAATTAATATTGTTGACTATTATCTCAAAATAGTTATAAATATAAAAATATTAGTGATTAATTAAAAATCAGTTACCATTTTCAATCATAAAAAATCTGTTTTCTTACAGTAAATAGAGGGATAAGAGTTATAAAAGTTGTAAGAGTTGTAAGAGTTACAATAGAAAAGTTATCACTAAAATGGAATAGTTAGTCACCACTAAATAGGATTAAATTACTATATAAATACTTGAGAAAGTAGGTGTTAATGGAATGTGTAAATGTATAAAATTATGGGATGCGAATCACCATATAATTGTATAGAAGAGGCGAGAAATGAGTAAAATAAAGAGTGAAAGGGGAAATATCCAACAAAGTAAATTTGATTCATAGTACAAATGTCATTATAGGAAATGAATGCATGATAGCCATAGGTTGCAAGATGGCAGCAACTTTGCAATGTTGGCTTTTATTATTGGGTTTTTTTAACTTTTTGTTGTTAGTAAGATAAGTTAAAAATATAATAAATATAT